AGTGACGGGCCAAAAAGTAATGTTGCCATTTTTTAATAGTAAAGAGTATGACAGAGAACTCTTTTTCATAAACTGACATTAATAGATACTTTTTTCCCATAGCTTTACTCACATATGCTATAGGGTGCCCGTTTTGTAATAGGATTGCCCAATACCTTGACCAGAGGCATCAGTTTCTATTGTGAAGGGTGTTGCAAAATTTGGTTCAAATGTTGAAAAGTTATTTCTGTGGCCTCATTCCAAGTGAATTCTACTTCTTTTTATAAAAGAGTAGTAAGTGGTAATGCTAACTTACCATAATTAGCAATGAATTTTCTACAGTAGCCAAACAATCCTAGGAAGTTTCGCAATTCTCTAGCTGACTTAGGTTTGGGTCATTATTGAGCACCAATCACTTTGTCAAGATTTGACTCTACTCTTTTTGAAATTACATATCCCAAGTAGTTTACCTTACTTTTACCAAAACTACACCTTTTGTAGTGCAAAACCAAGGAATGTGGTTTTAGAATCTGCAATGTCATCTTTAAGTAAATCAGATGGTCTTTCCAATTCTTACTGTACACCAAAATGTCATCAAAGAAGACTAAGATGAATTTTCTAATACGTTCCTGAAATATGTCATTTATAAGGTTCTAAAATGTAGCCAGTGCATTACTTAAACCAAAAGGTAATACTACCCATTCATAATGTCCACTATGAGTCCTAAATGCAGTTTTATGTATATCTTCTTCTGCCATTCTCATTTGATTGTATCCACTCCTTAGATCTAATTTTGAAAAATATGTAGCATTATTCAATTCATCCAAAAGTTCTTCAACCAATAGTATTGGAAACTTATTCTTTACTTTTAAAGCATTCAATCTTCTAAAATTAGTACAAAATATTCAATTTCCATCTTTCTTTTTTATTAATACTATGAGAGAAGCAAAAACACTATTACTCTCTCTTATAAATCTAGTTTCCAACATGTTTTTCACCTGTCTTTCTATTTTATCCTTTTGCACATGAGGGTATCTATATTGTTTCAAACAAATATGAGTATTAGTAGTAAGAATAATTTTGTGATCATACCTTCTTTGAGGAGGGAGATGAGTAGGCTCCAAGAATAGGTGTTTATAATTGTGCAAAAGGACATTCAATTCAACTTCCTAATTTGCAAATAAACTACATTCATCTGTTGTAGCCAGAACAGAAAAACAATTTAGTCCTATAATTGGAAATAACATAGTCTGCCAATCCATGATCTTTAATTTCCCTCTAACTCTTGTATTCTCGAAGATGGTTGCTCACCCTGCAACATTACTCGTCTTCCAGCATGTTCAAACCTCATTGTCAATTTTGCATAGTTTTAACATATCTTCCCCAGGGTTCTTAGCCACTGCATGCCTAAAATCACAGCATAATTTGATCTAGGTAAAACCAAAAATTCTACTACATCGCATGATCATTAAACCTATATTCCAATTGCTCACACCTTTTGGTAATTATAATTTGTTTCTCACTGGCCACTACCGCAGGAAAATCTTTGATGAATTGTGTCTTGACTCCCAATAACTTTATCCATTTGTCACTTAGAAAATTGTGAGTGCGGCCAGTGTCCATTAAAAGTAACACTTCCTACTTCTTAATTAGCCCTCTCAATTTCAGGGTGTGTCCACCAGCAATCCCTGACAAAGCATGTAATGAAATATGCACCTATTCATCATTTATCAATGCTAAACACCTATCCATCAGTATTGTATAGTTCCTCCCAATCCACCTCATCAATGTTTGAGTCTTCTTGTGCCGTAAATATAGCATTTAATTTACCCAGACTTTGTATTTCTGCCTATGATTCTTGTCCCAATTTGCCCCCACAAAATCTACGTAATCCTTTGGCAATATGTTCACTAGCCTCTTTTTTACTGAGCGAACTCATAATACTTACCTTATGATCACTTATAGCTATGGTATTGGAAGAAGTCTGAGTCTGCAAACTCGTTATAGGTTGGCTTATTTAATAATAAATGGTGTGGACCATGACCTATTATAACGGTTCTATGCTTTAGCAGGTCCTAATTACCCACTGATAATTTCTTTTCAAGTTCTTTGAGCACCTCCTCTACAATCTTGCCAAGTGCACAACTTCTTGGATTGTTTTGGGATTGTGATCACGCACAGATTTTTCCAATTATACTTCTAATTTGGCAAGAAAGAAACTAATGGCCATGTCTTCTCTCACATCTACATGAGCCAAAAATTCATAAACGTTCTAAATAATCAACCTAAGTTACCTTCTTGCTTCAATCTCAATAATTCGGCAACTGGGTCATCATAAACCCCATCATCAAAATAATTTTCAACATCAGCAATGATTTGACGCCATTATTTGTCTTTAACCTAAAATTTTGCACCTCGGGTGTACTTTCCAACTCGAAGAACTACTTTGCCTTCATCCTCCAATCACGAAAATTAGAACCATCAAACGAGGGAAATGAAATGTGAGCCCGTTCTACAATTATATTCTCGGATACTTGCATCTTACTATTAACATCATCGTCCAGCATCTTCTTCTTTTTTCAGTATGTATTGAAGCCACAAGATCTTTGATTAATTTTTGCATGTTCGTGAACCCTGATTGCATTTGTTGCTGAGAATTTGTAACCACCTTTTCCAAAGCCTCCATGCTCGCTTCAAGGTCTTTGTTCGTCACGGATCCCACCATCGTTGAAAAGCCTGTGATACCAATTATCAATAAAAAAACTATTGTTTTCCTTCAACACACTCATTTTGTCTCTCTCACAAGATAGAAGAAGAAACTCAAGAAGTCATGATATTATTGATTAATTATTATTTATTTACAAAGATCTTATTTATAACTCTCAGCTCACAAAACTAACTTTCCCTCCAAACTTTACTATTTCCTAAGCCGCATAACCTTTTTAATGGTTTTATGAATGTCTTATTCTTATTTTCTTAATTTTACAATTACATCCTTCCTGCTAATGACCTATTACACAAGGACTCATGAATTCAATGTCGTTCCTACAACCCCACCACCATCTTATAGTTTTTCATTAATATTTCAACGATTTCATGGGTTTGGTTATGATAATGTTAGGGATGACTATAGGTGATTAGGTGTACATTTATTGATGGTTTCAAGTTATGGGATATATACAGCTTAAGAAGTAACTCTTGGAGGAAACTTGATAAAAATATGCCTGAACGTGATTTCAAATATATAGGTGCCGACGTGTACTTGTGTCATTGGTGGGGTGAGAAAGATGAATATGAAGCATTTATGGTGTCGTTTGACTTGAGCAAAGAGGAGTTCCTTACAACACCCTTACCAGTCCCCTATGATCTAGATTCAGAACAGTTGGTAAGACACTTAGTGGTGTTAAAAGGGTCATTACTTTGATTTCAAATTCTGCGGATTCTACTTGTACTTTTCATATATCAATTTGGCTCAACTCGGTGTCAAGGACTCTTCGGTTAGACTCTTCATTACTGGACCTTTACCTTGCCTATAAGATACTATTGGTATTGGGAAGAAGAGTGATATACTCTTCAGGAAGGAAGATGATAAATTAGCCTGGTTTGATTTAAGTACCAACATGATGAAGGACATTAGTGTTGACGGACACAGTCTTTGTTCTCATATTGTAATTTATAAGGAAAGTGTTCTTTCAATTGGAGGAATAAATAATTAATACTTTTTTGTGTTCAAGCTTAAAGCTTTTGTCTAATAGGTTGTGATCATAGTTATTAGGAATTATTAATGCCATGAATTTTTATGTTTACAATTTGACCAGTCAATTGCTCGTGTCAAATTTACTATCAAGGTTGTGAGAAAGAAACCATTTGGTAAATGAACTTGCTTTATCAGTTTATTTTCATGTTTTTCTCTCTCTATTTACATATGTTCTGGTTTGTATTTAAATTGTAAAAGTGATCTTTAGTCATTGTTTGAGTGGTGCGCATCTATGCATAGAAATAACTTATACATTCTAAATTTTAATATTTATTGAAGTCACACAATTATAAATTTGTTTTCTGTTTTCATATCAGTTTGGACAGGACCAACATTTTGCTTCTACAATGTGTTTGAATATAAATAACACAAATATATAAGTTGTACTGTCGGTGGTAATCATAAAATTGTCAATGAAAAATGTAGATAATTAATTGTTCCTCCAATTATATCAAAGTATCCTTTAATTGGATGATGGTGTTTTAGTTTCTTCCTAAGGAAGTGTACATTAGCTCTGTTTATGAGTTGTCCTGTTACACATCAACCTTCTTCCTCCAAAGAAAACTAACGTATTAAAACCTGACATCAAATTATCAACAGATATTTGATATCTCAACAATAAAGCAGGTCTATTATTGCTGTGTAAATTTTCTTATATTGCAATCAATTGTAATATTCTCAACCTCTTAAAACTATCTTTATGTTTATAGAAATTTTATATATAACCTGAGTACTAATTCTTAGATTAAAGTGTTTATCTTAAATGACAGAATTTTTAAGGTTTAGTGTTTTCTCATCTTTTTAATTCTATCTTAATTTCAATTTATATAATATATTTTTTAGTTTTTAAATAATTTCTCTATAATTTAGTCTTATTTAACAGAATAAGATATCTATTATGATAATTGAATTTTTTTAAAATTTATTGAATTTAAAAATATTTATGAAATATATTTAAAATTTTTCTTTTAATAATGAGCTTAAAACTATGGATATTGAATTGGCAGAAGTATTGATTTTTCTAAAAGATTGATTTTTTTTTATGACTAAAGAATTGACTGACAAAAATATTGAATGAACATTATTTTTAACATTTAATAGCAAAGATATTATTTTTTTTGTTTTAAAAATTTAGAATATTAATTAATATTTTTTAAACTGTAATTATAAAATTATTTTAATTTTTTATTGAATTATATTATTAATATTCTTTTATCAGAAATTCTAGTGCACTTAAGATATAAATTATTATGTTTTAACAATCACTTGTACCAAAAAGAATAAAACAGAGTGAGATATATAAAGCCTCCCCTTTCCCGCCACTACGGGGTGAGTGAGTGTGGCGCCTCTTCTTCGCAGCATCAATACTTTCGAAGGTCGAAGGCACAGATAGGAACGAAGGATGTTGTGGGTTGACAAGTATCGTCCCAAAACCCTCGACCATGTCATGGTCCACTCCGACATCGCTCACAATCTCAAAAAATTGGTGCTCCTCTCTCTCTCTTTCTTCCTCATTCTCTAATCAACCTCTTTTTGTTCTTTCCCCCCCCCCCCCCCCCTTAATTTTGATTTTAATTTTTCTCTCGGTTGTGTGATTTTGTTGTTGTAGGTGACGGAACAGGATTGCCCCCATTTACTCTTCTATGGCCCATCTGGCGCTGGCAAAAAAACCCTAATCATGGCTCTTCTACGCCAAATGTTCGGACCCGGTGCCGAAAAGGTTCACTTTTCATTTATCCTTTTATTTTCGTTTTCCTATTTCTTTTGAGTGTGTTTGTCTCAGTGGAGAAACGAAAAACCAAAGGAGTGTATTTTAGTAATGTAGTTTATTTTTGGTTTATTTTGTTCTTGGTTCCCTCATTTTGATTCCTTTTCAAATTGGCTCTGTTGGTATTACAGGTGAAGGTGGAAAATAGGACGTGGAAAGTGGATGTAAGCTTCTTCGATCTTTATGTTTGTTGTGACTTATCAGAAATCTTCCCATGCTATTATGGGAGTTGAGATTTTTATGATTTCAATGGTTCCCTTTTGTAATTCAGTGGCTGCCAGTTGCTATGCGGTTCTGGCACCTTGTTTGATTGGAAGGGTGCCGGAGAAACCTTCTTCATATCAACATATCGTGTCACATATGTTTTTACAATGACTTTTATTGGAAAAAAAAGAAATGTTTTGTTGTGTGTGACAAATAACTATTTTAACACATGACTTCAAAAATGATGAATGCCTTCATTATATCACACGAAAACATTTGTTGAGATTTACTTTTGTTTAGAAATATCACATGCTCTTCTTATAGGAGTCTTACGCGTTCAACTTTATATTATTGTCTGTGGTGTGGAACCGAGGCGCTAGTTTGAATTGTGCAGAAAGATGGGTTTTTTATGTAGAGTAAAATGAATCTTTGTTATTTTATTTTACTTATTTGTTTTTATTTTGAAGTGCTTGGGAATTGGTTTCAGGCTGGAAGTAGATCAATTGATTTAGAGCTGACAACATTATCAAGTGCTAATCACATTGAAATGAGTCCAAGTGACGCAGGCTTTCAGGATAGATACATTGTTCAAGAAATAATCAAAGAAATGGCTAAGAATAGACCCATTGATACCAAGGGGAAGAAAGGATTTAAAGGTAACTGGCAGTCTTTGTTGTAAACCTTTACACTAGTGTTTTTTAAGCAAACAAAAAGGCGCCTCTGGTCCTCTGCATGGTTAACAACTTTGGTGGGTTTTGCACATCTGAATGCTATCTTTCATTTCTTTTCTGTGTTCTAGATCACTGTCTCTTGAATTGTGTAGATTTCTGTTTGGTCTGGTAGTGTCTAATTTACTTGTGCAATGTGTTCCTATCCACCTTCACGGTGAATATTCACCTATACTGTTTTTATTTTCTTGACTTTGATGTTTGTTTTTATTCTGTATCAGTACTAGTGCTCAATGATGTTGACAAGCTCTCTAGAGAAGCCCAACATTCTCTCCGCAGAACGATGGAGAAATACAGTGCTTATTGCAGATTAATTATGTGTTGCAATAGTTCTTCAAGAGTCACAGAAGCAATCCGCTCTCGTTGTCTAAATGTCCGGATAAATGCACCAAGTGAAGAACAGGTAATTAAATTTTTAACATATACTATAGTGGCTAAGGAAAGTAAAGGAATCTGTTTCCTTTGCGTGTGTTTAAGTTTCTTTAGAAATAGCACTTTTCCAGCATTGAGAGACAATGATTGTTCTCTGGTTGTGAGTGCGGTTTCATTGTTTTTCAATTTATTATTTTGCTTGTTGGTCAGTTCCAAAGATTAATGAATAATCATGATCTACCAAGTCACTTGTTCTTGTTGCACACATTATGGTAGATTAGTTGGCAAGGAATTTTGATTTTTATATTATAGATCATAGAATGCTTCTGTAACTACAATGAAGTCAGCAACATTAAGTCTGAAACTTTGGTGGTAAATTCTCCCCTACAAATTTACACATGCTTAATTATCATATAATGCAAAAATTTTCTTTAGTAATCATTATGATCATGCCAGACGCTTCCTTGAAAACTTAAAGAGGCTTGGATTACCTATAACTATGTTGTTTATCTGAGATTTTTTTCCTTTTTTTGTTCCTTGTCACTTTAAAGGGTATGCCAAAGGCATTCAAAGGCTTCCAGGCTTTATGATAATATGCAACAGATTGGTATCCACCAAAGATACCATGTCAATGGATGGACATTGTGATATATGATATATATTGATCTTGTTTAGCTTACCCATTCTCTGACTTGAATATTCATCTATATTTAATCTTTGGAATCTATATGGCAGATTATTGAAGTTTTAGAATTCATTGGAAAGAAAGAAGGGCTGCAACTTCCCCCTGATTTTGCTGCTCGCATTGCAGAGAAATCAAATCGGAATTTAAGGAGGGCCATATTGTCATTTGAGACTTGTCGTGTCCAGCAGTAAGCTCCATAAGCTTCCAATTCATTAGTGGATGCATAATCTAAAATTTTTCTCCTTTTCAAAGCTTTGCTTTAAGGGGCAACTAGTCAACTACTGACAGCCATCTCTTTTGTGTATTGTTGCATATGTTACTTGCAGGTATCCTTTTACTAACAAACAAACAATTCCTCCAATGGACTGGGAGGAATATATTTCTGAAATTGCATCTGACATAATGAAGGAACAGAGCCCAAAAAGGTTTGCTTTTGATACAGTTTATTTTGTCTGATCTTTCATGATAAATTGAGTGCTTTTGTTGAACCTTGAAATTCCTCAGGTTTGTGGATCACCTACCCAACTGTGTGGTCTACTAATTTCATGTTTTACTTTTATTCAGTTACTTATTTAGTTATCTGAGGGGCTTATGCTGTGTGCTGCAATGCATTTTAATCTCTCCCTCTGGCTTGTATACCCTAGGTTGTTTCAAGTTCGAGGGAAGCTGTATGAGCTGCTAATCAATTGCATTCCTCCAGAGATCATTTTGAAGGTAAATGTGTTCCCTTACAATGTCCCCCTTGTAAGTTTTTTCTTTAATACTTGACTTTGATATTGTTATATTTGTTGGTACAGAGGCTTCTATATGAGCTACTGAGGAAACTGGATGCAGAACTAAAGCACGAAGTATGTCATTGGGCTGCATATTATGTAAGTACTTTTTTGGTATTTTATTTTATATCAGCAGCTTGAATTGATATGGTAATGTATATTACCCAAGTTCAGGCATACTTTATTTATTTTCCCTAATTTGTTAACTTAGGCAATGATTTGTCTTTGTATGGTTCTGATGTACTTAGGTGTATAAGCATTTGTCTAATATCTGCTTATATGTTTTTCCCACATTGTATATATTCCTCATTAATCATTAGCTTGGAACTAGCTATATTAATGGTTGAAGATTTTGTCTAGTCACTTTCCCTTATTTTTTGCGGTGGTTCCTAATTCATTTTTCACTTTGAACCAGGAACATAGGATGCGTCAAGGACAGAAGGCGATTTTTCACATTGAAGGTACGTTGTCCTGATTGTATGTGGTAGTTAGATTGACAGTAACACCTTGTGCTGACTGACCATTGTGAATTCATTTACCCTGTTTATATTTATTTTGAGAACTCAACCAGTGCATATAAATATTTATATTTTATATTTAAAGCAATGTCTTTATACAAAGTGAATATAAATTGTGATACGGGCATGGCCTATACAACAAATTGCTTGCTGACTACCTTTTTCTGTTCTTTTGTATTTTATATGTTTACATTGGCAGCATTTGTGGCTAAGTTCATGAGCATTTATAAATCCTTCCTCATCGCAACATTTGGCTGAAGATCAGATGATGCTTTGCTTTTCCATGCAACATGTTAAATGAATTATGTAGTGGAAATGAATTCATACCTATTTGAGTTTTCTAGTGCTGTCTACTTAAGGTTTCTCATCATGTATGTTACTGCAGTTTTGACAGGATTCTGATGTTTTGGTCTGTAAAGGTGTTGTTTAATTAAATATTCGTAGGCTTTGGATGATGCATGGTGTCCCCCGCCTCTTTCCCCTCTCCATCCCCGTTATCTCCAGTTGGAAGCGAACTAATAACACTGCTTTTACCCATTCTAAACTGAAATTTTTTATTTTTATAACCCAACTGACCCGATCCACTCAACTTATTTTTTTATTCTTTTGGTTAAAGCTGGTTTCGGCAAGTGAGCTTTTGCTGCACACTCCTTAACAATAACAATTAGTACATTTTTAACACAAACGACTATTGACCCAAAAAAAAAAAAAAACGCAAACGATTCATCATACCGAAAATTTTATTTATAGAATACAAAAAATTAAATGTCTCAATCTGGTTATAAAATATCATGCAGGTTGTACATAATAATTACCTTTATAAAATACTTCATACTCAAATATTTTAGTGCTTTAAACAAGTATAAAAGAAGGTGCTTATGACATATCTTTAAAATATATATTGTGTTATTTAATTATATCTGTTTTAACTACGTGTATTTGTATCCATGATGCACAAGAGTACTGACATGTTGTCTAACTTCTATATTATTAAGATTTTTGATACAATAGATCTGCTATTAATTTCTGATACAATATCACTTGTTATGTATGATATAAATGAAAAAAAAGTGATAGAAAGAAGAAAAACACATAATTAATGTAGTTTAATTAATATGACTTATGTTGAAAATTTTTTATTACTATAATTTATGAATACAAGATACTACATTTACAAAATAGAGATATTTTTAGTTTTTAAATTCACAGACATACTATAATTTATCGTAATAATTCATAACTCTTTGTTACAATAATAACAACTGAGATTCAAGATATAAAAAAGAAAATCAAGTTATACATAAACTTAAGTTATTACAACAACCCTTTATTTATAATAAGTCTTAAAATGACCAGTAATATAATTATATAATATATATATATATATATATATATATAATATTTGTTAATGTACTTAAATAAATTTTATTTGTTAATTAAACTTTATTGACGTTGAAATCACGTCTTATGAAAGGTAAAAACTTTCTAAATATATTTATCATAAATGGAGTTTACTCGACTAAAAAATAATCTGTATCCAATCACCATGTTTCATGACTTAACCTCAGTTGATTTCAATCATTGATCACTTGATATTTAATTGAAAATTGAGTGCAAAAATGTTGACGTGGGAGAACTTCCATTAACGGTGTCTTTTCGATTTTTGTCACTCTTAATAGTAATGGGCTTAGGGTTATTTTTGCACCCACCTTTTTTTAACTTCTCACACCATTTTTTTTTAATATTTATTTTTAAAAAATCCTATTTTAAAAAAAATAATCTAAAATCTGAAACTTGCTTCTTTTATGAAAGTTTTTCGTCACCTCCATCTGCTATGCCTCTCCATTGTGATTCATATTGAGATAGTGATTCACAACATTGCTCGTTGAAGTACCTTTTTTACTCAGTTTGCTTATGAATTTGATGTTATTTCACGTATAAAATTGGCATAAAAAAGGTAAGGATACTCACGGTCAAAGTCTTCCGAAAATTAACTTTCAAGAAGCATGTTAAATTAACCAAGTTTTAAAATTTATTTTTTAGAGTAGATATATGACACTTCTGAAAATTAAATTCTTAAAGCATGTTAAATTTGTTAAAATATGTAAACAAAGTCACACATTGACTAAAATTGGAGAAGATAAGAGCATATAAATATGGTAGATCTCTATTAGTATGAAGTATTTTGAACAATGTTTAAAAATAAAATCATGAGGACTTAAGTCCAAAGTGGACAATATTATACTAGGATGGAGATGCACTAAAAAGTCCATGCCTAAAGTGGTACAATATTATACTTTTGGTTTAAGAGTCTAATCTTGATTCATTTTTTTCTTGTAGTTTTACTCATTAATTAATATTCATTTTTATAAATTTTATTCCTATTATATATATATATATATATATATTATTTATTAGAATATTATTCTAATTATATTGATATAAATTATACATATATATACATTACATAATACAATATTCTAAAAAGGAAAATTAGAATTAAAAAAAAAGCAAAAATTTAATTTATTTTTTTAAAGAAAGAACAAAATGTTTGTTATGCTTAGAGAAATCATAATATAAAAAAAATTAATAAAAAAATTAATTAAATAGGTAATAAACTTAGATAAAATATCAAACAGTAATGTTAGTATAAAAATAATGATTGAATTGCACAAATAAAATGAGTTGACCATTGATATATTATTATCACTAAATTTTTTTTTTTAAAAAGTAATAAAAAAATTAGTTTAAATGGTTTTAGTCACTGTATAAGAATTTTTTTATAATATATTTTTTATAGATAAAAAATTGTATATAAAATTTTAAACAAAAATTTATTTTTAATTTTATCTTTACCATGATGATAAAATACATGTATTATAGAGGTGTCATATATTAAGTTATTAATAGATGAAGATATAATTTAGTTGTTACCATATGATTGCAATGGTGTAAATCCAATTGTTCACATCTCTTCATGGTAGTATTTGAGTTTGCAACTGAAAGCAAATTGTAAAGTTGTAGAGTAAGGAATGATGCCAACGATAACAAGTATTTCTACTTTGAGAAGGAAAAAATGAAGTGTTATTATGTAATTGTGCGAGTTGGGTAAAGATTTACACATTTTAAACTTATTAAAATCTAGGTAAAAAGTTTTGTAGTTGTCCAAATTTTAAAGTTTTAGTTTTGGTTTATCATCTTGTTTAATTTTGTTCAGTTTGTGTAAGAGGAATGAAGATAGAGATTTTTTAGTAGGTAGATAAATCATTTTCTAAACATGCACTAGAAACAATTAACACACAACAAAATAATACTGTATTATAGAAATGAGAAAAGTACAAAGATGACAGAAATGTTATCACATTACATGACAACAATGGCAGTGTTAAGTTTTTGCTTCTGCAAAATCTATGTAGTTTGAAGTTTGTAATTAATGTAAAGTTAATGTAATGGTGGGATAAAGTGAGGTCAAGTAATAGTTGTATTTTAATGCATATGTGTAGGATTCAAATGTGTATTTATGAGGTATAATATTGTGTAATAGTTAACTTTTCAAATGTATAATATATGTTATTATATTATAAAATTATAAATTTTGACTTAAGGAGAAAATTGATTAAAATGGTAGCAGGGATGATTATAATTAAATAACTAAAGTATAGCCAAACAAATCTTATGTGACAATAAAGATGATTACTTGAAATAGAAACATAATTAAACAAGTTTGTACAATAAGACACAAATCTCATTGAGATAGTATAGCAAAAAAAAAATAGTGGTTAATATCACTATAGTTCCCAAAATAAGTCCCTTACTATGTAGTCACAATAATTCAAAAGGATTCCTTAAGATATACATTCAAGCTAGAAAGAAAAAAGAAAGTAAAATTCTTACATTCATTAAGTCTAAAGGTCATGTTTTCTTCTCAATAAATTGGAACTATTAGCTTGAAATAATTTGTTGCATTCCTTTTCTATCAATAGCTTAAAATTACTATGCATTACACATAACTTTCCTCTTCTTCTAAATAAGACTTTTTGTATTGTCTTAGAGTTAGTAGGTTGATGACCAGATCCAGAATGATTTGTTGTGCACAACTAGTAACTAGAACTACATATTCAATTGATGCATGTCCAAATCCAATAAGTGTAGGTGCAGATCTAATAGTGTTCTTGCCTTTTCCTTTTGTTGCAAATTCAACAAATTTGTTCCCTTTCCCTTTCCATGTAGCCTTTGCTTCTGATGTAGATCCATTTTTCTTTGCTTTCTTTAAAGGTCAAGGTGCAGTCATTTGCTCAACAGATAATACATATTTACAAGTCTTTCTATTATAGCCATATATGTGACACCTTGAACAAATGATTGAAATGTTTTGCCTTTTAAGCTTATATTATTTTTGAGCTTAATCATTTTTCCTTATTTTTAACTTTAGGCCTTTTTACAAGTGTTCTCACTTATGGTGGTGCAATTTTATATAATCCACTAGTTTGACACATTTGTTCTACATTAATTAGGTGAATTATTTTTTCATAACATTTGGCATCAATGTCAATGTAGTAGTATTTGTTAACAAAGTCTTGAAGATCACAATTATTTGCATATACACCTGCAACAACATGCCTAAATAAAACTACAAAATATATTATGTTAATGCATGGTAAAATAGCACATACCAAAATTTGTTAGTACACATTACTTGTATGGTAATCTAGTTAACCCCCAAAATCTACATGAAATGTACTTGCCTCTAAGTCAGCTTGAAATTGATTAGGTTTACATAGTACCTCCACCTAATTTTTTTTTTCTTTTCTCATGTTAGTATAAACATGCCTAACATTAATCATATGTTCATATACTTCTAGCAAGCTTTAAAGTGCAAAAACTAAACCCTATAGTATGGAATAAAAACATAGGAAAATTAGGCTTTTAAAGTCACTTGAACTTGAACATAAAAACATAGGTAAAGTTGTAACCCATACGTACCTTTTATTGGTCTAATTTAAACATCCATTTTATATTATTTTCAATGCCATCTAATAAGTTTCTCAAAAATTAAATCTAAGAGTCTTTAAGCATGCTTGTTGAGAAGTCCATATTTTGATATATTTTATGACTTATATTTATACACTTAAACCTTATTTTATATATATTTACACTAATTATGCTATTAATTATGCAGTTTAGTTGAAAGTTGTTATCAGTGCTTTATTGAGATATTCTGAATAAAAATTAAATAATTTTAGCCATTAACTGTGCTATGTGAATCTGAGTTTGAATTTTGAATTTAAAATTTAAACTTAGATAAAGATTTAGATATGAAGATTTGGAGCGATTTTCAGTTGAGATTTTAAAGTTAAAATTCTGATTGTGGATAAAATCGATTCAAAAAGACAGAGCTCAACCAACTAGGAACTCAGGGCATATCCTATATAAAAAGGTCTTATGCTTGACACTTGACACACTTTTTCCACTTTGTTTGACACACCATCTTCCCTTT